CCATGAATATATAAATGAGTTTGCATGGTTATTTTTAAGTTGCAATTCTTAGTATAAGATGAATGAAAAGAAAAAAACAATTAGCCAAAAGAAATGTGGGGATTTAATTATTACATGCGATGAGGAGTGCGATGATGGCAATAGAGTAGAACATGATGGTTGTCATAACTGTAAATATTCGTGTCCATTAAATTGTCATCAATGTCATTTCGGAAAATGTAAATAATGTTTACCAAAATACGAACTAATACATGGGTAGTGTAAATATATTTGTGATGGTTCTGGTAGTTAAGAAGAATAAGAAAATAGGAGGTGTTATAATAGAATAAATAATTTGATTGAGAACGGGCATTACTAACATAATCTCTTTAATATCCAAAATTCAAAGTATAAAATAATAGTTCCTCTAACTTGCAGCCTTCAAGATTTTGGAATTTTTGGATATTTTTATAATTAATGTAGAATAGCAGCGATAAAAAATTGTAAAGAAAGTATTTATGACAAATGCCTATTATGTGATGATAATTATGTATTGGAATATAATAGATTGGCATGTACTCCAATTTGTAATGATGGGTTTGTAATAGAAAAAGAAATATGTGATGACTAGAACAACATTTAATTTGATGGATGCTACAAATGCTAACAAAGTTGCTTATTGGAATGCTTAAATTGTGTTGAAAATAAATGCTATTAGTGTCTTGATGGTTGGCAGCTTATAGATTATGGTTGTTATCAATATTGTGGAGATGGTTAAGTAGCCTAATCTTCTATGGAACAATGCGATGATGGAAATTATGATAATGGAGATGGATGTTATTAATGTAAATTCGAGTGTGTTCCATATTGCAGATCCTGTGCTGATAGACATACTTGTTTGGTTTGTGAAAAATACTTTGAATTGTCTAACGATTCCTGTAGACCAATATGTGGAGACGATAATATTGTTGATGGATTGGAAGAATGTGAGGATGGCAATGATATTCCTTATGATGGTTGTTTTAACTGTCTGTTTTAGTGTGAGAAAGCATGTTAAATTTGTCGTTAAGGATCTTGCATAGAGTGTATAGATGGGTATATAATTGCAAAGGATTACTGTGAGGTTTATAATTACACATTCATTATCGATGAAGATGAGGATGAAGTTGTCGAAAATTAATGTGCTGATTCTAAATACTCCAATAACGAAGAATGCGATGATGGGAATAAATTTGATGGTGATGGTTGTTCTAGCTCATGTCAGATTGAACCTTATTGGTTTTGTAATAACTATCCAAATAAGCCTAGTGTTTGTTCTCCTAACACTATTATAAAATTATAATACCTTAATCAAACTTAATAAATTTAATACATTTAATTATACTTCTCAAATAAAGTTAAATTAAATGAAACTATTTTAAATTTTACTGATTAAATTAAACCATCTATCCCTTCTATTGATCAAGACGCATATGCTATTACTATAAATCCTGTAGTTGAAATTGATTAGACTGTTCTACTTGATGTTAGCTATGAATTTGAAATTCAATTCTTAGAGCCTATTACAGCAACAAATCTTTTCCTAGCTGTCCAAATTGACGCTAATTTAGAGGACCAAAACCAAATGATGGTTAATACTTCAATCTAAACTATTAATTTATAATTACCCAAAATCTTGAACGAAAATTAGTTGTAAACTGCCAATAATTTTCAAGCTCTTGGGAATTATATGATGATTGGATTAGCTAGCAGTAGTGTCTTTTTATTCTTTTTTGGAAATCCTAGTTAATGTTTGGAAATTTTAGATACTTTGCAATTTTAATCATATCTGAAATTCATAAATGTTCAATTTCCATAAAACATTCAAATATATTTTGAATCTTCACAATTTGTAACTATTAGTCCTGTCTTGGTAAAGTTACAAGCGAATGATTTTTTAGAATAATTTATTGGATATGAATATATAGACAGTATAGGTAAGTTTTTTGAATATCAATTAAATGCAGATTTGTTAGTTAATATTTATGGGCAATTAATTTAAATAGGGTCTCTGATTGTTTTGTATGTTATTGTAAAATGCTATTAAAAAATTGTCTATTCACATTGCTTTGGCATCAAATATATATATTATTTTAGACTCCTTAATCATAGAATCTCTTAATTTGTTGGAATTAAATTTTATTACGTTAATAAATATATATGTAAAATAGGTGATATATTTAATGCAGAAGGATTAATTCAATTATTCCATGCTAATAGCTGGGATTTATTATTTAAAATTTTAATGTATTTAGCTTCCAGTCATTAGTAAGGATTAAGAAAAATAATTTCTCATACTATCTCAATTGCTTATCTGGTGTCCATAATTATTATTTTAAGTAAACATTTCAGAAGTTAGAATCAATAAATTAGATTAAAAGATCTAAGAATCTCATAGCATGAAGACATTATTTTACTAAAAAAACTCCTTTTTTTAGTAGTTCTTATTATTTTGCAAAGTTACCCTCTCATACAATGTTTGCTATTAACATGTGTATTATTTTTGTATCTTGGATCACTAATTAGTACTCAATTCACTTCAAGTAAACTCGATTTATTAATAATTATTTGGATGGAAGGACCAGTAATGATCTTTACATTATCTTGTATAATATATTGCTCTGACTTTTCAAAGTATTTTTCGACTGATCAATAAATAAATGCGGGGTTTATATAAATAAGTTTCTTGATATTAGCTTTGGTCTCTCCCTTAGCGAGGTGCGGTTATTAATTTTATCTTAAAGTCAAAACATACTGTTTGAAAAGAATGTAGATGAGGAAACCAATTGTAATGAATGTTAGAAATATATTTTAAATAATTGAAAATAATTGATCATAAGAAGATATCACTTCTTAAGTCATTATTTCATTATCATTTATCTAATAATCGTATCTTTTAATTTAAAATAATTTTTTAAATAATACCAAATTTTTTGTTTTCTTTATCTTTAATAAGCAAATCTCCTTTTCCTAAATAAATTTCTACATAAAATTTAGACTTCATTTCATTATAATATAATTGAATATAACAGTTTCAGAATTCTAGAAAACATTAAAGTTGAAGAAATTTTTGATATCGTTGAACGATTAAGATTTTGGAATCATAGCGAAGGTAGATTCCTGAACATATATATTCTTTAGTTCAATAAAATAAAGTTAACTAAAGTGAATATGAGTTTCATAATTAATTATTTATAAAATTATTGAATAATTAAATTAAAATTTATTTAATGTTCCAATTAGTTTTTCTGTTTTATCTTCAGATTATGATAGTATTTACAAGGATTGAAGAATTATATTTGATAGAAGATGAATATTTTACTTGATATAAGAAAGCACTTATACTCAATGATGAAATAAATCAAATACTATATTTTTATATAATAAATATCAAACNGGATATGAATATATAGACAGTATAGGTAAGTTTTTTGAATATCAATTAAATGCAGATTTGTTAGTTAATATTTATGGGCAATTAATTTAAATAGGGTCTCTGATTGTTTTGTATGTTATTGTAAAATGCTATTAAAAAATTGTCTATTCACATTGCTTTGGCATCAAATATATATATTATTTTAGACTCCTTAATCATAGAATCTCTTAATTTGTTGGAATTAAATTTTATTACGTTAATAAATATATATGTAAAATAGGTGATATATTTAATGCAGAAGGATTAATTCAATTATTCCATGCTAATAGCTGGGATTTATTATTTAAAATTTTAATGTATTTAGCTTCCAGTCATTAGTAAGGATTAAGAAAAATAATTTCTCATACTATCTCAATTGCTTATCTGGTGTCCATAATTATTATTTTAAGTAAACATTTCAGAAGTTAGAATCAATAAATTAGATTAAAAGATCTAAGAATCTCATAGCATGAAGACATTATTTTACTAAAAAAACTCCTTTTTTTAGTAGTTCTTATTATTTTGCAAAGTTACCCTCTCATACAATGTTTGCTATTAACATGTGTATTATTTTTGTATCTTGGATCACTAATTAGTACTCAATTCACTTCAAGTAAACTCGATTTATTAATAATTATTTGGATGGAAGGACCAGTAATGATCTTTACATTATCTTGTATAATATATTGCTCTGACTTTTCAAAGTATTTTTCGACTGATCAATAAATAAATGCGGGGTTTATATAAATAAGTTTCTTGATATTAGCTTTGGTCTCTCCCTTAGCGAGGTGCGGTTATTAATTTTATCTTAAAGTCAAAACATACTGTTTGAAAAGAATGTAGATGAGGAAACCAATTGTAATGAATGTTAGAAATATATTTTAAATAATTGAAAATAATTGATCATAAGAAGATATCACTTCTTAAGTCATTATTTCATTATCATTTATCTAATAATCGTATCTTTTAATTTAAAATAATTTTTTAAATAATACCAAATTTTTTGTTTTCTTTATCTTTAATAAGCAAATCTCCTTTTCCTAAATAAATTTCTACATAAAATTTAGACTTCATTTCATTATAATATAATTGAATATAACAGTTTCAGAATTCTAGAAAACATTAAAGTTGAAGAAATTTTTGATATCGTTGAACGATTAAGATTTTGGAATCATAGCGAAGGTAGATTCCTGAACATATATATTCTTTAGTTCAATAAAATAAAGTTAACTAAAGTGAATATGAGTTTCATAATTAATTATTTATAAAATTATTGAATAATTAAATTAAAATTTATTTAATGTTCCAATTAGTTTTTCTGTTTTATCTTCAGATTATGATAGTATTTACAAGGATTGAAGAATTATATTTGATAGAAGATGAATATTTTACTTGATATAAGAAAGCACTTATACTCAATGATGAAATAAATCAAATACTATATTTTTATATAATAAATATCAAACTTATAAATACTGATTTTTTAATTAAACATTTTCCACTGTATAAGATATAAAATGTGTGTAATATTTTATAGATGTGTATCACTCTATTGAATCTTCAAACATCAGCATATGTGATTTGTAAAACCCTTTACGGGAATTATTCCAATATGGTTAAAAAACATAAAACATATTTTATGATATCCTAAGTAGTTTTATTATTACTTTGATTTATATAAGTAAATTTAAAAAAAATCAAATATATTTCTATCTTCACAGTCTTCAAAATAGAATCTATATGGATCATTTATAATTTATCCATCTCCACAGACACTTTACAATAATACTGTTCCGGAGCAATCCACTGAATTCGTAGCTTTATCAAAGATTATTTGTATAATTACAAGAAGTACATCCAATTCTAAAGAAAAATTTACAATCTTTGCATCCATCTGTGTCAATTTAATTGCCATCCTCGCATTTTTCTTATCCAACTACAGGCAGATCTCCACATCCTTCTTTACATTACCAAGGAGTAACTGCTGGATCAATATACCAACCAGCAGTTGCAAATTCAAAATATTGTTGTTTTATACATTTTGTACATTAAGGCTAGCATTAATATTTACAATTAAAACATCCATCTTATTAAATTATATTTCCATCTTCACATCTTCGATTCCTGTAATAATCCCATCTCCAAAAACATCAGGGCAAGGTAAGGTTGTTGATGAATCACAAATCAAACAATGCGCTGGACATTAAAATTAACAGTTATAGCATAAATCATTAAGGATTGTATTATTATCTTCGCATTATTCGTCTCCGATAATTTATAGATCTCCACAAATGGTTAAACATTCTCCAGATACTAATTGAAATCCAATATCACAAGAATTACAAGTAATATTATGCCATATCTATTAATTATTATTACATAACTTATAGCATTAGCATTAACTTAAAGTAGAATCTTCTGCATCTGGGCAATCTATTATTATTTTAATTAAATTACTCACTTAATTCATAATATCCTGAAGCACAGACACATTTTAATCCTTTTAATATTCTATTTTAAATAGGATCGCAAGTTAAACAGCCATCTAATAAGATTCTAAAGTATGTTTAACATTAACATGTTGATTCTTCTTTTTCGATATTTGAAATATTATTGCAAGTTAAACACTCAGCAGATGTAGACCAAAACAAGTTTTGCAAAATTAATGACATTACTAACATCTAGCATTTTATATAATTGAATAATAGCCATCAATATTATAAATTCTCTATAATTGCTGATTAAGCATTCAATACAATAAGTCTAACTTAAACATTAATTACATTCAATTGGGCAATCAAAACATTGACCTGATTCTTCGTATTAATTCATTTTGCACATACATCCTAATTTAGTTTAGATATAAGTAGATTTGCAAGTTTAACAATCTATTTATGATGTACAAGTTAAACAAGATTATGGACAATCTAAACATCTTACAGACTCTTTATGATAATATTGATTAATCAAACATTCTGCTTGAGAAAATTTAATAAAACTAGAATCATATGTGCTGTTCCATAAAGTACATGTAGTTGCATCTGAACATTCTAAACAATAAGGCTAGCAATTATGAACAATAATATAATAAGTGTGGAATCCGCTAAACCCTTGAACTGGTTCATTATTTGGACCATAGCATTCCCAAGTGATCGTTAATAAACTTGTGTTATGAAGAATTCTTTCGACTGCTCTCTCTTATTTTGTTTCATCAGTATTAGATGAAGTAGTGTTTGTAATAGATTTAGAAACTGTAATGTTATTCTCTGTTGTATATATAAACTAGCCATCTGAAGGGAAAGATGATCCGTACACAAAGTAAAATGTAATGGTGACGCTAAAATGTGGAGATATTATGTTATGAAACCTTAAGAATTTTGCTTAAGCCCATACAAAAGGTCCTCCAAATACTTTTCTTCCAAGCAAAAATTAATAATAGATATCTGATCCTTTTAAAAAGTTTGTTCCATTTTGAGAAATTAAAGTATATTATGCATACTACCCAGGTTTGAAGTCTACCCTCATATTCTTTAATCAAATATTAAGAGTCTATAAATTATAATATCTATTACAAGGTGTTTCCTCATCGTAATCCTAACAATAAGAACCAACCAATTTCTTTTATGGAGACGAGCATCTTGATATACAAGTATCATCTTGACTTAAATAGTACCCTTTTTTACAAGACTTACATTTAAATGATACTTCACACAACTAACAATCTCTAGGGCAATATCCAGAGTAAATATCAACCTAACCCATTCCCCATCCTGCTGTGACATCTCTAAGTAAAATACAAAGATATTTATGAATAATTCCCTATCGCTGAAAAAAGAAATGAATATTTAGGAATGTCGAAATATGCAATCAATACATAATTTTCACTCTAGTTATAAAATGATGATGGTAACAAATAACCTAAAGAATGTGAAAATATTTTTAATCGATGGGCTTGAATTACATAAGCGTTTCTATAAATAGATCCATAATAAGTATGATTAATCTTAAACTATGCAATTCATTGGAATATTATTGTAAGTAGTAATTTCAATTTTGAATCCAATTAAATAGGATGAATCCATATAAAGAGACAATTAGAAATATCTATAGATACCAGAATTAAACTTAAATATTCCATATACTATAGATGAATTAGTTATAATTCTTGGAGATATATCTACATGTTTTTCGTCGTATATTATGTTCCATCTCAAACTCTAAGTGTAAGTAGCAAAATAATCAATTGAACCCCTTTCTATCAAAAAACTAAGATATATTTTTCTGAAAATAATTACCTGGGTAAGATTAACAAAACCCATTGGAATATAACGCATAGTCTATATCACAAATGTCTCTCTGCATACTTAGTGTTTTTATTATTAATTAATAGGACAAGGTGGACAATTATTGTTTGTTGGGAGCCCATAAAAACAACTAGTACATTCATTATATTTTGGACTTGTGCATGATTTACATGATGGATAGCAGTTTAATTTGGAAATGACGATATTTCTAAGAGAAACAATCCTTAATTTGTATTGTAAGATGTAAAATTCAAACTTCCAGAATATAGTTATAATACTAAAAAGTTCAAAGTTTTAACTTCAAATGGAATGCTTTCACTAAATCTCGCTGTCATTGGATATGTTGTAGGTGATGTGTAGGAGTATAAATGAGAAAGTGTTCCTATTTTACATTCAATATTCTCTGATGACCATGTAAAAATAACAGAAACATAATAGATTATACCATGATAAAATAAATCCATCGATATCCAGTACTCATTTATGGGATCGAAACGAATATACCTTTCAGCAAATGGATATGATTTAGTTAGAGTAATGTAGTTTGTTTCAGTATTTTACAAGTGATAAAATTTGTATTNTTCTTCCAAGCAAAAATTAATAATAGATATCTGATCCTTTTAAAAAGTTTGTTCCATTTTGAGAAATTAAAGTATATTATGCATACTACCCAGGTTTGAAGTCTACCCTCATATTCTTTAATCAAATATTAAGAGTCTATAAATTATAATATCTATTACAAGGTGTTTCCTCATCGTAATCCTAACAATAAGAACCAACCAATTTCTTTTATGGAGACGAGCATCTTGATATACAAGTATCATCTTGACTTAAATAGTACCCTTTTTTACAAGACTTACATTTAAATGATACTTCACACAACTAACAATCTCTAGGGCAATATCCAGAGTAAATATCAACCTAACCCATTCCCCATCCTGCTGTGACATCTCTAAGTAAAATACAAAGATATTTATGAATAATTCCCTATCGCTGAAAAAAGAAATGAATATTTAGGAATGTCGAAATATGCAATCAATACATAATTTTCACTCTAGTTATAAAATGATGATGGTAACAAATAACCTAAAGAATGTGAAAATATTTTTAATCGATGGGCTTGAATTACATAAGCGTTTCTATAAATAGATCCATAATAAGTATGATTAATCTTAAACTATGCAATTCATTGGAATATTATTGTAAGTAGTAATTTCAATTTTGAATCCAATTAAATAGGATGAATCCATATAAAGAGACAATTAGAAATATCTATAGATACCAGAATTAAACTTAAATATTCCATATACTATAGATGAATTAGTTATAATTCTTGGAGATATATCTACATGTTTTTCGTCGTATATTATGTTCCATCTCAAACTCTAAGTGTAAGTAGCAAAATAATCAATTGAACCCCTTTCTATCAAAAAACTAAGATATATTTTTCTGAAAATAATTACCTGGGTAAGATTAACAAAACCCATTGGAATATAACGCATAGTCTATATCACAAATGTCTCTCTGCATACTTAGTGTTTTTATTATTAATTAATAGGACAAGGTGGACAATTATTGTTTGTTGGGAGCCCATAAAAACAACTAGTACATTCATTATATTTTGGACTTGTGCATGATTTACATGATGGATAGCAGTTTAATTTGGAAATGACGATATTTCTAAGAGAAACAATCCTTAATTTGTATTGTAAGATGTAAAATTCAAACTTCCAGAATATAGTTATAATACTAAAAAGTTCAAAGTTTTAACTTCAAATGGAATGCTTTCACTAAATCTCGCTGTCATTGGATATGTTGTAGGTGATGTGTAGGAGTATAAATGAGAAAGTGTTCCTATTTTACATTCAATATTCTCTGATGACCATGTAAAAATAACAGAAACATAATAGATTATACCATGATAAAATAAATCCATCGATATCCAGTACTCATTTATGGGATCGAAACGAATATACCTTTCAGCAAATGGATATGATTTAGTTAGAGTAATGTAGTTTGTTTCAGTATTTTACAAGTGATAAAATTTGTATTTTGGTTTGATTTTATTTCAATTCCAAGGCAATTATGTTTATCATTGTAGATTAAGAAACTTTCAAAAGTTTCCATTGTGAATTTGAAAACCCAAAAAGTCCCTGCAGAATAAAAATTATACATAAAGGCATTATATTTGATTTAATAAATAAAAATTTAAGGATTTATTTATAGCTTAATTTGGCATCTGTAATATTTTTTTACTAATTATTTGTAAAGTATCATGTCTATTTTTAATAATGGAGCAACAATTGATTATCCTATTTTTAGAAATATTTTGTGATTATAACTTTACTATTTGAAGTTGAGGAGTTCTTGCCCCTAACTTTAGGCAAATTAACACATTTATGGTTGATCATTAAATAATGTCATTAATTAATCCATAACTACTTATATCATACTTTATTCTTCACCCTATCAATTAGTAAGACTTTTGGAATTATAGGAAGAATACTACAACAGATGGCTTAATCCATTATATTATTTAATAAAAAAATTGTGATTGCAAATAAAAAATTTGCGGTAATAAATTTAATATCTTGCACACTACAAAGAAAGTTACTTGGATATTTTATTTTGAGATTATTAACATAGAGTTTAATCTAAAACCCAACCAAATTATCAGGATAAGGTTTGAGAAGTCTCTAATTTAATTTTTATTTTATCTGTTTGGCCGATGCATCAAAATATGATTGTTGTTTTTATCTATTTCAAAATAATAGGTTGCTGTATTTTTAAATACAAGTATTAACAATAACTTACTTTATCTGATAAACTAGGATCAAATTGCCCATCAATGCAATTCTTGATCGAATAGTTTCAATAATTTTTCTGCTCATTAGAATGTTGGTACATCACAATCCTCCTAACTTATTGCACTTATTAAAATTATACAACAATTACAATCGCAGGAATCACATACTAAATATTTTAACAATATATAATAAAATTCCTTTGATATAAGTACACTAAGAATAGTTGCTTGTTTATGACAAGCATAGGCAAAAATAGAATTCTAATAGCTTCTCCTCACAAGCATAATCTAATCACATTTTGACTAAAGTTTGATACATTATTCTATCATAAGGACAACAGTTTATTCCTTTATTGCAAATACAGAATTTTGGACATCGAAACAAGAAAGATCTGAGAGTACTGATAGTATCGGCTTTTTCTTAGCACTCTAACTCTCTTGAATGAGTATATTGGTTTATCATTTGAAATTGAACCTAAACCAATGATGAATTGAAAAAATTAGGTTATAGTCACTTTCAAAATTATTTACTAATAAACCAATTTGAGTCTTATATACAATTAGTTAATAGGTCATTCGAATTTTCAGTACTAGATCACCAGTGTTCTATTAATTTACAATAATACTAAAAAGCGATTAGCCAAAATATATCCATACAATCTACCTTAATTGAAACCTTTTTATTATCAATATGTCCATTTCTTTGCATTCTTGGATGAATTTAGAGATTGAGTAGAATTGGTGTAATAAGAATCCAATCTATGCACTTTGAAATCTAAAGAAGAATTCATGCAATTATCCATTTACTTGCAAGCACAAAATAAATCAATTTTATGAATCATTAAAAAATTATACTATCAATGTATGTATGATTATCTCTTATAACTGAACCGAATCATGGTTTGCTTGAAGGGTACTGAAACTGCACCGTATGATGAACAAGACTTAGTCTAGTGTAGTTGCAAGTTACCAAGAACGTGTCATTTGAATTAAATGCTATTATTTAGCCTCCTCTATGTTATGTATTTGGTTCATCTGTTAATTTTCTATTAATACATCCTTTAATTAGCTATCATTCTCCTCTTGATGAATTTTGAAATAAGATATTCAATTATTATTATATGAAATGTATCATTAGATTCCATTTCATACCTCTCTCAAATTAAGTTCTTTTCTGAACGTAAATCTTTCCAATTTTTTAAAGTAGTTTATTTCAAACAATTCTATGATTTTCATAGTTCCATAAACTAATCCCTAATTTATGTAAGCTTCTTATTATACTATAATTAAATTAATTATTTTTACATATTATAAATATATATTGAATTGAATGTGAAAATTCTGAAGCAACAAGATCAAATTTCTTATGATTACTAAAATATATATGAGTAATGTAAATGAACTGTTTGAATTAAATAAATAAAAATATTTAAATATTATAAATACAAATTATAAGATATAATTTGAAATTGATTTATCTTTATTACATTTCTTTATGAGGGTTGCTGATTGCAACACAGAAAGTGCAAATCACATTAAATTTGAAATTACGATAATAAACAAGCATAAATTGATATCTCTAATTAATTATGCATCCTCATATTCAAATTGATTAAGAAATGACACAAACATTAAAAATATCTAATATAGACTTTTTCTATATAAGATCAGCTTACATCAAGTAGTTTAGAGGTAAAACGTTGCCATCGGGCGGCAAAGATCCGAGTTCAAGTCTTCGGGTTGGTGTTTTTTTTATTTTTTAATCACAATTTCTTAATCATGAATAAATAGTTAATATACAATTAAAATTTTCTCGAAATGTTAATGTATAAGTTGCTTATATTGGTTAGTTTTTATAATATAAATAGGATGAAAAGGAATATATTCTAAATATTATATTTATTCCAAAAAATTCTTCGTCTCATCCCTAAATGTAAACCAATTAATTGTAGTCACTTAAAAACAATTTGATTAAATTCAATGAGGTGATATGAATTTTGATTAAAGAAAAAAAACTATTCAATAAATATTAAAACAAATTATATATAAAATTAGAACTACAAAATTAAGAATAAAGAGTATCATATGCTGATAAAAATAACATAAAAAAATGATCTTCAATAGGTTCTATTTTCTTTTGTTACTCTAATTATATTTAATAAGGAGTTCAAAAATTTCCCAAACATGCAGTCGCTGGCATGTTCAAAGTTTGAAGGACTCCTAAAATTCTGGTGTTTGCATTTGGAAAACGATTATTGTGTTTTTGATTCTAGTTAATCATACCATTCAAAGATTAAGAATTAGAATCTGTGCAAAAACTATGCTCAAGAAGATTGTCGAGAACAAGAGTAATGTGGCTTTTATTATGGATTATGTATTGACTTTGTAGATTGCAGTTTCTTTAATAAAGATTAATGTTAAGAATCGTCTTATAAATGTGTTTCTGATGGTTCAAAAAGTGTACAAATGTAAGAATGTAGTGATTATAAAACGGAGAATGCCTGTGCAAATAAAAATTATTATGGTAAATACTGTGTTTGGATTTTGGGAACAGAGAAAATATGCACAGACGTCACAACGTGTGAATTATTACTTTCATATTTAACCAATCATAGTATGTGTAAGTCAGGGATTGATGGATGTACAATAAGCGAGAAAGGTTATGGATGTACCTATTAAATATTGTACGCAATATGTGTATAATATTTAATGCTTCGAAAGTATATCAAGAAAAGATAATTGTTTTTGGGATTCAAAAAATAGTAAATGTGTTGAAAAGGTGTGTGAAAATCTACCATTTACTCAGGATTATGAATGTAAGTCATATTTAAGTTAATGTACAACTATTGGAGTTTATTGTGTATTAAGAAAGTAGTGTAGTGATGTTTAGAATAAGTTTTGATGTGTAACTGATGCTTTGGGGTAAAAATGTGAATATCATAAAAATTAATGTAAAATCAAAAGTTGCAATACTGCTCCAGAGTCACTTACTAATTATCTATATTGTTAGGATTATGACAATCTATTATATTGTGTTACTTCAGAATACAAAGGATGTAAAATGAGATCTTAGACATTTAATGGTTATGCTTATAAAATGGAATGCTATTCATTAGAATAATAAGACTGTGTGTGGAATAAAAAAGATGTGAATAAGATGCTCCAATTCATTATACTCATAAAGATTGTCAGTGATATGGGAATTGTATGGGGAAATTAAATGGAGGATGTTGACAGACACCTTATTTAAGTGAGGAAATATTGCAGGAATCGTTTTGTGAATCGACCTATAATAAAGAAAGATGCATTTGGGTCAAAGGTGTATGCGAGTCATTAGAATGTATAAAAAAGAGTAAAACTATAAGAAATTGAAATTGCCAAACTACCATAATCATAAGGAATGCTAAAAGGCAAGTGCATATTGCACTTTTAATTTAGAATCTTTAGGTTGTGCAGAGTATTTATGTGAAAATGTTTAAGAGATAGAAGATTGTACAATTGATTCAAGTGGTACAATTTGCACATTGAATAAAGGATGTATAGTGAAGAAATGTAAAACTGCTCTCCAAATTTATAATACTAATTCCAAATGTGAAGAGTATATGCCAAAATGTACAGTTAATGTCTAAGTTTTATCAAATTAAAATATCTTGATTGGATGTGTAGGTAAATAAGGTACTTGTGAACTTGCAAACAAAGATCAATGTTATTCAACACTTTCAGGATATATGTGTAAATGGAATGGAAAGTAGAAAAATGCATTAATCAACTTTGTACAGATGCAATTCCAATTTGTATATAACAAATGAAGATTGTAAATAATTTAAGGTGTTATCTGGATTTGCATTATTGGACCTTCTGGAGTTGGATATTACAAATGGCCCACAAATTGTTCTGAAATGAAAAGTCAATTATAGTGTTAATTGAATGTACAAAATGGAACGAAGTGTTTTTGGACTGGTACTTATTGTAAGCAATAAGAATGTTCAGATGTTCCTAAACTTAATTACATAAATAATTTTTAATCTAGAATGTTATTTAAGGAATCCTAATTGTACTGTGGTTTCTACTTTTAGTGCTGAAGGATGCGAAAGGAAGAAAGCAACCTGTTATGAGTACATCAAACAAAGAAATTGTAAGACAACTCTAAATGGTTAGTTGTGTTATTGAGATGATAAAGAAAGAAAGTGTTTGAATGAGGATGAAAGTGGTGATGGTGATGGAGTTGTTGATTGTCAAAAGAGACTTTATGGAAAACTAACTCATCAGGATTGTGAGGACTTCATGCCTAAATGTACAGTAAATAATTTTACTTTATCCTGTGTTACTCTCGCAGATGAATGAAATTAGAAATATAAATAATAGTGTTAATAAGTAATTGCAACCTTGCAAATGGGATGATTTGAATTAAATATGTTAAGATTTAGTTTGTGATGATAATACAACCTCTAAAACTGAAGCTGAATGTTTAATGTTCAGAAAGAATAATGATTGTCAATTACAAATTAATTCTGATGGAAATTATGGGCCTGGTTATGTTAGGTTGTTAGTTTGTTACTGATCCTATGATATGCAAATTAACACTATCAGCTAACAATGAAAAATGCTATTGTCATAGTACTTGTTGTACGATAATACGACCAAACGTTGTCAACTAATTACTGAAAGTTAAAGTAATGATTTTTGTTAATTATATAATCCCTATTGTGTTCTTAAATCAAATGGATATTTAATAGTGATTTGTTGAGTAACATGTGTAAAAGTGCCATTATGAGATATAATGATAGATGCAGCGATGAAAATGGAAGTAAGCGAGATATTTAATGTTCTGATAAAAAGTCAGAGTCTTATTATTGTGAAAACAGGAGAACAACTTATAGATAATTATGTTAATTAAAATAATAGTGCTATAATTGTAGTTACTTATGCGCCGTACTTTACGTTGAAAATAACAATTATCCCTTTCTTCCTACGGTCACCATCCAAAGATAAGGAGGAATTATGTTAAGAATATTCAAAATCATACAGGTATGATACAACTGTAACTGCTGTAAACCAATTCTTTCTTGTTCAGACTTAAATCAACAATCTGTTTATAATTAATCAATATCGGAAAGATAATGTGGATATCATGAATAGTTGAATCATTGTAATGAATGCGATCAATTAACATCTAATGAAAAAAATTCAGAATTAATTTGCTATTAGTGGAATCAAAAACTGTGTTTTAGGGGCTATGGGTTGTATGACTTACCGCTATGATTGTAAAACTATTGGTCTTATTTAACAATGTTATTCTTATTCATGCTATTGGTAGGATGGTATAATTAAATGATTTAATAAATATCAAATTATTTTAAACTTTAAAATTAATATGAATCTTAATGTAAATGTGTTTCTCATGTTGATTGTGGTCTTAACACAACTGCAGTAACGAATCGGGAATGTTTATTAAGTAATAGCACATTTTGTAGATTTAATTATTCTAAAAGCTAAGGATGTGCTTTTATGTATTGTGATCAAATTACAAACTCTGAAATACGTAGTACAGCACAACTCACTAATGGTTAAAATATCATTGGCACTTTTCCAAATGCATTGCATTGTTTTGTTAGAATTATCAAATATAATCCGATTGCGAAAACAATTATGACTATGGAGGGCTAAAATGTAATTGGTGTCCACTTTATTCTACTCCTTGTAGCTATAATCCATCCTGTAGTTTAAGTAACATGCCTACACCTAGATCACATTAAGATTGTCAGGGTAGATATGTCTTTTAAACAATCAACTTAATAATGAGCTCAAAGTGCACAAACAAATAATAATAATGCTCAGATTATAAATATTAAGAGGCTTGCGTTAATACGATAGGTGATATAGACTATTATTGGTATTCTAATGCTTGTATATGGTATTACGAAGCTGCAGTTTAATTAATTTCTACATATACACATTCATCATGCCATAGTTGGAAGGATTCTTATATGTCATTAGATAACTTAGGATGTCAACCTCTAGATTGCTCATAGTTAATAATAATGGCAGATTGTACTATTTCTACAACATGGTGTTTTTGGGATGGTTAAAATTGTTAAAGTATTGAAGAATTTACGGTTAGTTTATTAAAAATTTAGTAAAGGATAATTTAATATCTTTGAATGTAGAAAGTACACTAATGGTTTTTTGTGCTTAGATACAAGTAATTCATAAGGCATGCTTTTGGGATGGTACTAAATGCTTAGAAAAAACATGTTCAAATAAACCTATTCCTTTAATTAGTCAAGCAGATTGTAATAGTTGGTTGATAAAGTGTTAATATAATAGTAATAATAATAGATGCTTAGAAAATTGCACTTAAGCTGATATTTCAAATAAAACTCATGAACTATGCGAATCCTATTATTTAAATATAAGTTGCACTGTCAAACTAGATATAATTCAATGTGTTGACCTTCCAATTGCTTGTTCTTTAGCAAAAAACCTTAATGTTATAAAGATTAATCTGGAAGTAAATGCATCTATTAAGAATCAGAAAGTAAGTGCGTTAATTTAAAATTTTCAATCTTATAATATACTACACATGAATAATGTAACTAAAGATTAAATTCCTGTACAGTTAATTCAGCTTTAGGTTGATGCCAATTATTAAATGTTTGTAGTAGTTATACCATAAAAGAATAATGCTAAATCGATTCAAATAATGTAGAATGCTAATGGATGATAAATTAAAATAAATGTACAATAAAGGAGTGTTTAACTGCACAATTACTAATATATACAGTTCTTAGTCGTAATTAATATTTGGAAATTCTTGTACTGTAAATGAAATTTGGATGGATGCATAATTGGTCAATCTTTGTGCATGAACTACTTATATAATTAATGCAAAGTGAAGGGCAAATGAATTTAAGTTGAATAGCATGTTTCTGGAATGATGATAAGAATATTTGTTTAGAGAGGATTTGTGAAAATGGGCCTCCACTTGCCAAAACTAATTCTGATTGTATAGGATTTCTTTCTACATGTTAAAAAGGTGGTTGTCGAATATAAGAGTGTTTTGATTATAATTATGCAATAGATTCTGCTTGTGTTTCAATATTCTAAAGCAACAAATGTGCAACAAATGGATATTAATGTGTTTTTCGAATGGCTTGTGAAGATGTTAGTGTTATTGATGGTTGTACATTTGATATCAATCTCAATCCTTATGTCTGGATTGAAGACAAATGTTATACAAAATCTTGTAAAACTGCATCAATTTCACTGATAAAACATTAGGAATGCAATGCTTGCACAGTTAAATAAGGAGGAGGATGCATTAATAAACAATAATGTCAAAATTACTAAATTAAAGAGGCATCTATATTTACCCTATGATAGTTGTTATAAATGTCAAGTTTAATGCCCATAAGGATGTAATATTTGTAATGGTTTGATATATGAAGATTGTCAAAAAGGGGGTGGTTATTGCTTAATGGCACATGTATATCTATATGTGGGGACGGCTATACTATAGGGAAAAAATTTTGCGATGATGGAAATGATATTGAATTTGATGGATGGAATTAATATTCCTATTCTTGTCACTAAAAATGACTTAAATTGCTTCTAAGAACTATGTTTAAAATATCAAAATGGATACAAAGAGGTTGGGTCATAATGTTATAATGTTTGTGGGGATGGTATCCTTATAGAACAATTAGAAAATGTGACGATAGAAATAGTTAGAATAATGACGGATGCAGTGATACTTGTTAATATTAGTTTATGTGCCTACATCCAAAGATTATACTTGCTAAACTCAAAAAACAAACTAAGATTATGAAGAGTTCCTATTATAATTTTCTGAGCAAGTTCGTTTGAACATAAACACATAAGAGAAGAACAATTTCTTCAAATGATTATAGTTTTTATTGAAAATGCAAAAGATAACGAATACGATGTTGAAATCAAATCCATAACTTCTATTACTACTGTATTAACTGAAGTATCCTATACGATATTGGTCTATTTTAAAAATAAGATTTCAAATCCTATTTTAAAAGTGACAGTCAGATGTGAGTACATTGTAAATGTTTAAGACAATACTTTATTCTCTAATGAAATTAAGTTAGTATTACCAACTCCTAACAAAATGTCAAATGTTGGATAATCCCTTATTTCTAAAACAGTTATGCTAAGTAGAATTGTTATGTATATCATTTTGATAGTAAGTGGTATTTCTTTTTGGCCAGCAATTAAACTTTTACTTGTTTAATTAAGAACCACAATTAAGAGAAAAATAAAAGAGATTTGTGAAATATTTAATTCATTAAAAAACATGAATGCCATGTTTGATTAAAGTCTTCTATTTGATTCTCCACAGTAATTACGTTTAAGATTATAATAAGATTTTTCATTTTTTATAAAGCGATTATCATTTTGTATCAAACTAAGATAAAATGATTAATCGTCTTTGAATAATAATAATATTTATGAATCATATTACAAAAGATAACCTTATCGATCTGAACTCAAAGCTAACCGATGAAAATTACAGACTAACTTTGCTTGCATACAGTCTTCAGCGATAATTAGACCTGGCAGCAGTATAAATAAACTAAACTTAATAATTAAAAGAAAGATTAGAAATTGTCTAATTAGAATTAATATAATTAAAAAGGGACAATCAAACCTAGAAGAACAATTATATCTTATTAGTTTAACATCCATGATGATGAAGAACAGATTTTTAAATAGTGATAGAAAATGTGAAAACAGAGTACGAATAAAAACTATAAGTTTACAAAATGAGAATAAAAGACTTAACAGGATGAATAAGGAGTAATAGAATAAACAGATTAATAACTTTGAAACCAATCTCTTACAATTATTTGAATTAAGTGTTGAATTAAAAAATAGGTTGGGTAGTTTTGGATAATAACCATCTTCAATGTACTCATCAATGATAGCTCCAAAAGTGTTGACAAAGTCGATTTATGATAACCTAATCTATCAATTGAGTCAAAGCAGTGAAGAAGAGAAGACTTTTCGAGCAACTCAGTACTCAATTTTTTACATGTTAGAACAATTAGATTGCCAAATTTGTAATCCAAAGAAGTTAGATAACCAAAAAGAAATATTCAAAAAAAAAATTTACAGCTATTCCTTTTATTTAAAGTATTAATTATATCAAATGAAATATAAAATAAGCAAACTATTTTTATTTTAATTCTATGGATTGATTAATATTCATTAATTATATTTTTATAACTTAAATCCATAATTATTATATATGCAAATCTATCAAAGTACTTCTTGTAAATCAATGACCCAAGTAACTCAAAAATGATATCATGCGCTTTTTTTTTAATAATTGAATGTAAAAAGATTGGTAATTTCCACTAATCAAAGATTTAATTAAGAATAAAATTGAATTAAAATCAATTGTCAATTATTGGTAGATTATGGAATGTCTTTAAAAGAATATAAAGTTATTACAGGAATTCCTAATTGCCACTCATTTCATTCGCAATATATAAGGAGATTTCATTTGCAAAATATTAATTGAATAGTATATCTCACACTATTGGCAGCTTGATTACAGAAAATAATTAATTACAATTAGGTTGATCAATCATGTTATTCTAATACAAAGAAAATTAGTTATGACAGTAGTTTTGTATTAATTAATTTTATTGCTACATTCATAATATTATTGTAATAACCAATCTTCACATTAAAATCTATGGATTTTGATATAATTCAAAAAATTAAATAGTGTTTGTTATTCAGGTCATAACAACAATATAAGTTTTATATTAATTTTATGAATATCTTTTGTTCTGTAATTTTATTATCTTAAATTGTTTTGTTCAACACTATTGATAAATTATTCAATCTAATATAGAATTAAAGGACCAATTGAATTGATTTTTCTTGAAAATAATAACATTCTGTAACAATCATAATTCCTAAGAGTAGTGAATTAAATGATTGTTTTAATTAATCATAAGACAAAATCACTGGTTTTTTCTAGAATTTTATTTATAAATTAATTTTTGCATAATACTACAAGAGAATTTTAATAGAATTATAATAATAGAAATAGTCTACTATTAATATCAATATGAGAATATTCCTCTGTAATCACCCTTTTTGATGGAACTGGTTCTATGTCAGTGAATATCAAACCATTGTAGATGCTCACAACACTACCTTTTACTGTCTAGGTTAATAATAGATAAAATATTAATGGGAATAACAATTATATGGTTTTCTTCTATTTAGATGTGTTGGCAGTGGAAATCTCGCCAGTTATTAACTTAACTTACTATATCACAGAAGATTTTAAGAAAATTTTTTAAAAACTTTAAATAGTAATTACCCAAATAATATAACAACTGTATTCATTAGTGATGGTCAGGAGTCTTTTGATTTTAATTAATTGACTTATTTAATAGAATAAATGAAATAAAAATACATGAAATTAATTTCCAAACACAATATCTAATGTTTTAAGCAAGGCAATCCATAATTAAAACACAAAGCTTTTTCTTATATATATATAACTATGAATGATGATTTAGCTCACTATATTTTTTATTAAAATTTGTTATAGATTAAATATTTGTGGAAGTTTAATATTAATTAACTTGAATGTTTAACCGAGCTTTATCAAAGTTTGAACAATTAAATTATCTTAGCCGGCTGTAGTAGAGAGTATTAAAGGAAAGATTTATAACATTATATCTAGTCATGATAAT